AGCTTTTTCTACCAAAAAAGCCCTGTATGTTCTTATGACATGATAGCCAAATGCAGCTTCTCAGGTCCTGCCCTTGAAATGCTACAGTATGGATTCTTTGCCCACCAAGGTGCCCAAAGTCCACAATGCCTCATCCTTATCTGGGAAGCAGTGTTCCCTCTAAGCTGTGCACATGAGCGGCTGCTCATTAACACAGCAGCAATCCGGAGCTGCGCAGGGTCTTGAACTGTCCATTTCAAGATTACAGCAGTTATGTTCTGCTCAGGATGCAAACTGCTCTGCTCTGTAGAGGAAACATTGCTGAGAAGCCATATTCTTGGAGCAGAGAAAAAAATAGTCACACAGTATCCCTCCAATGAGTTTTTCCGGGACATTTTTGTTTTGCTTTCTTTTCCCCATACATTTTATTAACAAGCATAGGTAAGCCTAAGTAAAATACTTCCTTCACCTTCTCCTTTACTCACACCCTTTTGGCTCAAGCCTGCTTCAGTCTCTTCCTTCTCCAGTCTAATGTACTTCCCACTCCCATCTTAAGCCTGAGGTATTTTCCAAATGCCCTGCTTTCTTCCTTTCTCTTATTCTTATTACTCTTTCATTCGTACTCAGGACTCTCATATTACCAATTTTGCTGACTTATGAGTTACTGCCCCAAAATGGCACTGAGGGAACTGTTAGGGCCTGTTGTTTGTTTGTTTGCCTTTCTGTCTGTCTTTCTCTCACCTACACAGTTTCTTTCCCTTCTCTTTTAGGTCATGTATAAGGAAAAGGACTCAGACACAAGGGCCCACTTCTGGGTGGTGGAGGGCAATGCCTCACGGAGTGCCCAGCTCACAGGCTTGGGCAAGTATGTCTTGTACGAGATCCGGGTGCTTGCTTTCACCCGCATTGGTGATGGCGTGCCCAGCAATCCACCCATCCTTGAACGCACATTGGATGATGGTAGGTGTCCAGCAACCCATCTTTTGGTTGGCCATGAGAGGGAGGGGTGGTAAACCAGAGGGAAAGGAAAGTTCTGGAATGGAGTTAGAGGATCCATAAGGCCATACAAACCAAGCAACATCTAAGCCATATAACCCAAGCATTGGCTATGAATGAACTCAACCAGTACAATTACGGGGTCAGAATCCCACACACTGAGCTCACTGTAGAACCATGATCCTGTGGTATTAAAAACTCAGTTTCATTTTAAAAAAAAACACCTCTGCTCCTAAAATAAACACACAGAACAAGTGATATCTGTTCTCATCCTTTTTATATCTATGTGTGTATATACAAATGTGTTTGAGCTATCTGTCTCTAACCTGTTTTGGGTCAGTGTGTTTTTGCTAGTTTGAATGTGAGCTCATGTACTCAAGGGCATGTGTGTTTCCATATTTTTGTTTTCCAGCATTCTATCTCTTTTTCCGTTCTTCTGAAATATGTGCATGTGCAATGTATGTGTTTGTGTAGTGCTGTTTTGTTTGGTTGCATGTCCCCACATTAATAGATGCCTTGCTCATCCACTCATCTATAAGACAGTAATATGAGTCTCTTTGTGTGTAAGCATCAGAATAAATTTGTGATTTGTGTATAACCAAGTGCACATGCATGACTGTGCTTTGGAAAGTAACAGCAGCAACCTACAGCAACAGCATCCATTTGCTATTATATCCTGAACACTTTAATAAAATTATAAATATGTATACCTGTGTGCATACCACTGTGTATATGTGCCTAACAATTCCTGTACAGGTGTGTACCATAAACTTTATCCTATGTACGTATTCTGTGTACTTGTGAGTGTGTGCAAGACAGAGATTTTTATTTCTCAGTGACCCTATTATAACCCCTTTTCTAAGTCAATGATTCATCTAGCCTGTCTCTAATTTATAATGCCCCATGAACGTTTTCATATTATTTATTGGAAATGTTTCTATTCATATGCAGTTTGACCAATGCACCTTCACAAGTTCTGTTCCTTGATAACATTACTGTATTCTGTCTTCATGTGTTCCAGTGCCTGGGCCTCCCGTTGGCATCCTCTTCCCGGAAGTGAGAAAAACTTCTGTACGGCTCATCTGGCAACCACCCTCTGCTCCCAATGGCATCATTCTGGGTAAGCAAGTAACCCCACCCCCCATGCACCATAGAAATTGTTGGCCAGAGTGGCTCATGCACTAACACTTCTTCCTTTCTCTGTCCACTATTTTACATGGCACTCAGTGCCATTAGAGGAATTTTGAGAGGATACGAATGACCAGTCCATAGATATTCAATTCCCAAAATTCCATGATTCCATCCTACTGAGATCTGGTATTGCATGGTAGTTAGAATGCTGGACTAGGAATGGAATGTCCAAAATTCAAGTCCCCGCTCTGCCACGAACCTAGGTGACCTCACTCTCATTCACAAAATTGTTGTGAGGATAAAGGAAGAGGAGACCCACATACATTATTTGGACCTCTTTGTAGGAAGGGCAGAATGAAACATAAATACTTTCTTTGTGATGAATTTTCCCTCTTGGCTTGCCAGAAGGATATGGGACAGTTTCTCTGCCTACAAGCATTCCCTAACAACATGTTCCAATCTTATGCAGCCTACCAGATCACCCACCGCCTCAACACCACCACTGCCAATTCAGCCAGTGTGGAAATACTCAACCCCAGTGCCCGCCAATTTACAGCTACTGGTCTTAGACCTGAGTCCACCTACCTCTTCCGTATCACAGCTCAGACCCGAAAGGGCTGGGGCGAGGCAGCAGAGGCACTGGTGGTCACCACTGAGAAGAGAGGTAAGTGTGTCAGGAAGGAACATAAGGGTTTGGGGGAAGGTCACCACTATGCAGCATTGCCAGTGCATTTCAGTGGAGTTTGTAGGAGACTGAGCACCATTTGACATGTTACAGGTAGTAACTAAAGGTGATATAATTCCAGTCTCTTCCATTTACCCACAGCAAGTAAGAGGGGATCAGATCTTTAGTCTTAAACCACATATGAAGCTCCTTGTATTTTATATAAACTTTTCTGCACTTTAGGGAGTAGGTTATGCTATACATTTTTTTCTCTAAATTCAAGCAGGGTTCCTTTAATGTGGAACATTGAAAAATACAACAGAATTTCCCCCCCCCCAGTCACCACATACACATATTAATTGCAATCTAGTTGATCATTCTTCCATCTTAGGCCCAAAACAAACCTGGTGTTCAGTGGTATGCATCTTTTGCCTGAAATTCAGGCATCTTTTACTGCCCCCCCCCAACCCTTTTAAGCCAAAAGCAGTATCAGAACTCTAAGAGTGAGTTCCCTCATTTTCCTCCAACTATTTTTCCCACCACAGAGCAAATATAGTGTCACTGTCTTTTTGAAGAGATTTAACAAAGATTAAAATGCAAAATAGCTCACCTTTTTATTGGGCAGAAGCACCATTTTGAAATAAAAAAACTGAGATTCTTAGGAACCCAGTGAACTTCTGCTTTTCTGATTTATAAACTTTATGTAAGTAGACAGGATGGGGAAGGTAAAAATGCGTGTCCAAATTCCACCTGCAAAGAATACAAAGGGGTAGTTTCCTCCTTGTGCGAAGTATGCCATGCTCCTCTTAAGCTCCATCCTAGGTAATAGTAGCATCGCTCATGCGTTAGTGGTTTTTCAAAGAATACAAAGGGGTAGTTTCCTCCTTATGCTAAGTATACCATGCTCCTCTTAAGCCCCATCCTAGGTAATAGTAGCATCACTCATGCGTTAGTGGTTTTGTCTTTCTGTTATCCATTTTCACTTTCACTCCATGCATCCAGCTTTCACTCAATTGTGCCTTTTTCACCGCCACCTTCCAGACCGTCCCCAGCCTCCAAGCAAGCCAGTGGTGCTGCAGGAAGATGTCAAAGCAAGGAGTGTATTGTTATCCTGGGAACCAGGCAGTGATGGGCTCTCCCCAGTCCGTTATTACACTGTGCAAACTCGGGAACTCCCCGATGGGAAATGGGTGCTACATTCTGCCTCTGTCAGCCATAATACCACATCCTTCATCATCAACAGGTGAGACAGCAACAAATCAAGTGGAGGGAGGCTTTTAGGAAGAAATGGAGGTGTCACTGCAACTGTTTGGTAGCCCAATATTTGCCAGTGGGTGGACAAGCCTTGAGTGGTTATTTTAGCCACAGGGGCTACACTCATCTTCTGCTCTGAAAGATATCCTGTTGTCCTCTAATCAGTGAGGAATAAAAACTGACTTTTCCTTCATGGCTTTGTAATCAGGGCTAGCCATCAGATCACTCAGTTCTGTCAAGATGGCTTTTCTGAAGTGCTCAGAAAGAGTTTGCTGGCCTTGGGGGTGGAAAATGGTGGGAATCGGGGGTGCAGCAATAGAGGGTTGCATCCTAGAGGGTTCACTCGAGACTGAGCCAAGTATCGTGTATGCCCCTTGCAGGCTGAAGCCTTTCACCACCTATAAATTCCGGGTCAAGGCAACCAATGACATTGGTGATAGCGAGTACAGTGAAGAGTCAGAGTCACTCACCACACTTCAGGCCGGTAAGTGGACACATTGGATCACGGGTTGCTTCAGAAGGAGATGCCCACCTCTCTTCCTTCTCTCTTTGTAGTAATAGAGACAGCTGTGCTTTGGGAATCATGCTGTTGAGCAGCCGAAGCTATTGCAACATGCATGGCTGGAATGGTCACTTCTTCCAGTCTTCTCGTTGCTACCCAGTCCTGCATTTAGGTCAATCAGAAGAAGAAGAAGAAGAAAAGATTGGATTTATACCCCGCCCTTCACTTGGAGTCTCAGAGCGGCTTACAAACTCCTTTCCCTTCCCCTTCCCCTGAGAGAGCTCTGACACAAACTGCTCTTTTTCAAGGACAGCTGTGCCAGAGCTTGTGACTGACCCAAGGTCACATCAGCAGGTGCAAGTGGAGGAGTGGGGGAATCAAACCCAGTTCTCCCAGATTAGAGTCCGCACTCTTAACCACTACACCAAAATGGCAGGAGGGCAGTGTGCATCTCCCCTAGCCTCGAGTCTCTCCTCCATGTGGTCACTCACTTCACACTGAGCCGGAGAATCATCCTCTGCTCTGCCATAGATCTCTTCCTCAGGTCTTGTGGGATGGGCTGATGTCTTCCATTGTTTTGCTTTTCCTATAGTGGCATTGTATTAAAACTGAAAAGTAGGAACTGCAATTAAGGCTCAGTGTTGTGGGCTGCACAACCAATGGGTTGGATCCAACCACCTTTTCTGCTGATGAAAAAGGGAGAAGGGTCAAAAAGGTTATGCTGGGAAGCATGGAACCTGCCTAATGGGATGGCAGCTGTTGTAAGGAAGAGAACTGGGTAAGAGTGAAACAGCTGGCTGGATCCAACCCTGCTCCAACTTATGTTCTACATGAGGTGTAGGCAATATCAGCCAAAAAAACCAAAACCCCAACCAAGCTCGTAATGTTGGATAAAAAGCCTAGTTCACATAAGGACAATGTAAGGAGCTGCGGTGGCTCAAGTGGTTAAGACGCAGAACTGCAGGCTGTGGAAGGTCAGTAGTTCAGCAGTTCGAGACCCGGGTGCCGCATGATGGAGTGAGCTCCCATCTCTAATTCCAGCTCCTGCCAACCTAGCAGTTCGAAAGCAAGACATTGCAAGTAGATAAATAGGTACTACTTCGGTGGGAAGGTAACAGCATTCCGTGCGCCTTGGTGTTTAGTCATGCCAGCCACATGACCACGGAAACGTCTTCAGACAGCGCTGGCTCTTCGGCTTTGAAATGGAGATGAGCACCGCAACCCTAGAGTCGGATTCGACTGGCTTTCGAGCAAGGGAACCTTTACCTTTTAAGAGCTTCTTCCATATGTACAATTTTAAAAGTCGATGGAACACATCCTGACAAAAGAACACAGACCACAACACTCATTCCCACGAAAGGGCCCTTAAACTAATATAGCCTTATGAGCAACAGGTAACACTGGTAATAAAGTTTTCTGGCAAGCTGTTCTGTAAAATAAGAGTGATGATTTTAAAAGATCAAGTCCCACCTGCCATGAAACATGTGATGTAAGTTGAAGGAGCAGCCAGGAGGAACTTCTGCAGGGACCACAACTGGTACCTAGGAAGAACAGAAGCTGTTCCTACGGGGAGAACAGAAGTTGAATCTACAAGGAAATTAAGGGTTAATAGGAGAAATAGGAGAAAGACAAGTACAGGAGACAGAAGTGGGAGTAATAGAGACAGTGATATGGATGGACCTGGCTAAGTAGACATCTACAACTACCAAACAGCTGCAAGATGATAATAAGGTTTGCTTTCACCACTGATACTGAGTGGTTATTTAAAGCTATAAGAAGTCTCCGTAGCAGCCTACTGTTGCCACCAGTGTCATAGGTACAGTGGTTTAGATCTTCCTGAGTTTTACTAATGTTTCTT